AGAGCTGAGGCTTTGTTATTTTAACTCCAGCAGTTAAAATAATGCGAAGGAAGGAAACACATAGGTTTATTCCCTCGCCTCTGCCCGCTTGCATGGTGGGAGAGTCTTTCATTTAAAAGGCGTTTTAATTGATATGCACAGTTGTCAAGACAACGGTATCATTAGTAGGAGAGGCGCAACCCCACCCCTTTCCCCCCTCCCCCCTCCGCCTTTCCTTCCTCTTTTCCCTGCTCCCCCACTCGCTCGTGCTGTTTAGCTTGCTAGCAGTTTCTCCAGCAGCAAGTCATTTATCTCCCCCTACACACACTTTCCCCCCTCTTGCTTGTGTGCCTTTCACTGGCAGATTATGAGCCTTGCTGCCACTGAAGCATCGATTGCTGGAAGTGGAGGGTGACCTTGCCTGGTTTCTGGAGGAATTTCTCCTGAAATGGAGATACACAAGGATACAAGGCTTTGATTTCTCCTGTTAGGAGCTGAAGATAGTAAGAAACTGCAAACTTTTTTTCCCCGTGGTACTGCATCCAACAATGTTTGTGTGAATGATGGCAAAAGAAGCCTGTGTGTGTGGGAGGGGACTAGAGGAGAATGTGTTGTTGTAGTGGATCTGCAGGATAAAGCTCTTGTTAAAGCTTCCTTCGAGGGCCATATGTCCCTCCTCTAGTGTAAACTGACTGCAAGAATATTGACTTTCCTCTGTACTTAATAAAACACAGTTGCCAACTCCGGTGATTTTATCACCAATCTCTGGATTAGGAAGTCTATCTGGGCTTACCTGAAAATGTCCTTTCTTGAGGCCTGGGACTCTGAAGTTACCTGATTCTCCAAGACTCTAAACTTTCATTAAAAAAAGATGTTTCTAGCCTTTTGGGGTTGCAGAATTGAGCAGGAAAACAGGATGGCACAGGAAAAAATGGCAAACAAAAAGAACCCCAGATTTATTATTTTCAAACTTCATTTTTAAGCCAATTTTGTAATTTCTGTGGGCCTGATTCATAATTTATGCAGCCAGATGGGTTTGATAATGGTGTTTCTTAAATGCTAACATTTTGTCTGTCCAGTGCTGTGAGGAAGACAGATAGCCTTTGCCAAAGGAACTGTCAATCTAAAGCTTTCTAGGATCACAAAACATGTATGTATTTATTATGTGTATTAAAGAACCTGTGTACATACACACATATTAGTCATAAGAGGAACTCCTTACTCAGCCCCCCCCCCCCCCCCCCCCCCCCCCCCCCCGACGCAGAATGGCCCCCTGCCGCCCCCCCCCCCCCCCCCGCCGCCAAGAAAAGGAGAGAGAACATTTATTTGCTCCCTCATTATACTGCATCACATATATGATGAATCAGCTTTCTAGTATAGACAAAGCTTGAGTAGTTTGCTCAACTGTATGTGTTGGGTGAAATGGAGTATAGAGGTAGATGTCATCTACCTGCTGATGGCACTGTGCATTAGATCATCCCAAAAATCCTCCTAAAAGCCCCATTATGTGTTGAACAGAAGGGTAAGAGAGCAAGCCATCATGGAACTTCATGAGAGAACACTTGGGTAGATGAACAATGGCCTTCCCAACTATCTCAGAACAAATGCAACAGAATCACATAAACGCAAATCTTTAAGAAACCAGTAATGTGTTAACATTTTATGGTCAAAGGTATCACATACAATAAAAGAATCAGCATGAATTGCTAATATATTGCCAGGAGGAGATCATTAACAAATATAACCAATTTTGTCCATGTACCCTGCTGCTGTGAGTGTCACAAGAAATAGACTACGAGGAAGTTCTAAAAGAACGTGCCATTATTTGGGTAATGTTCTACAGATGTGAATGACATAATTGAGGGCTGTCTAACTTCTGAGAGGTTGCTCATGGGCTCCTAGGCCCTGTGCTGTAGTAGCACAACTACGGGGGCACAACTGGGGCAGCAACGCAGGGTGCTACCTTTGGAGGGGAGGGGCTGGCACAAAAATGGCTGCAATTGCAGCAGTGGCTGATAGCGTTACTGTGCTCACCACTGTAACAGCTGGTGTTACATGGTTGCCCTGGGTGTTGTATGGTTACTCAGGCCGTGAAACTGCCCCGCTGTGCCTCTGCTGTTCTGTGCTGCTCCGCCCCCAGGGGTGGGGGCAGGGACAGGGGCAGGAAGTGGAAACTTGATGAGTGAGGGGGACCTTGGAGGTGACACTAGCAGGAGAGTAATGTGGGGAGCCACGCCCAGACTGAGACCCTGGGGGCGATGAATTAATCCCTCACAGGCCGGATTCAGCCCGTGAGCTTCCAGCAGAACAGCCCTTACATAACTTATTGGCATACACTCCAACTACCTTTATAGTGTGAGGAGTAATTCTATTGTATGGTGGGGAGATTAGTTGGAGCAGGTTAGCATACCTATAATGGTGATGTGATGAGAGAGGCACATCTACACTTTGGAGAATAAACTGTTTCCTTTTGGCACTGATTTCTATAGGTTGCACCAGCACTAGTGCACAGAGGTCTTCTTGTCATGTAGATTGTCAGCCATTTGGCAATGACAATGTCCTGAGGATTAGTAGGGACAAGGCAGGCAGTATCCCAGTAGGAATCCTTACTGCAAGTGTGAACATATGGTAATATTTAGCAAGTCCGGGTGGTTCATATGGAGTAGGCTCAATGTTTGAATGTTAGCCAGGTGTATGTAACTCCTGTTGTTATGACTGACCCAAATTTAAGTTTTGCCTTAGCAAAGAGGAAGTGTTGGACATTTTCTGTCAATACTCATGTGCTATGTTCCCAGAGTATTCCAAAGCATCTGTTAGAACAATGTTGTTAATATGTGTGTCACTGAAGTTAGGAGCATCATTCAAAGAGAGGAGAGTTAAGATTAAACAGTGGGTGTGACATATACTTTACCTCTGTTTTTAGATGTTTAAGTTTGTATTACCTTTTCTCTTTATTTTGTGGTTTTTGGAGGTTCAAATAGAGGTGAGTTCAGTATTCTGGAGGGTAGCAGGCACCACTAGGCAACCGTAATTTGACAGAATAAGGCTTAAAGACATTTACTTACCCTATTCTTCTACAAAAATCTTTTTTCTATATCCCTGTATATAACAGACCAGGTCTCTAACCCTACCACCTTTGACTCTTTGGCAACACTGTATCACCTCATTTCTTGTTTCTAGTCTTGTCCAGCAAGGCCCAGTTCTCCATTTTCAGACTACCATTTCATGCAGCTCCTTGTTCGAGTTTTAGCACTGCTGGGTCATTTCTTTAGAGGGAGAAGAATGTGGAAGTTTGAGGTAGCAGAGTTGAAGTGCCAACTGCAAAGATCTCCATTTCTTCCTCAGACTTTCCTGAAGTTTTGGCCCCCTCCCCTGAAGACAGAGCAGGGCAGAAAGCTTTTGGAGTCCTAGCAAAGGAGAAGGAGGGGAGTTCTAACTTCCTCAGGGTATAATAGAGGGAAGGCAAGCCCTGGAGTTCCCTCCCTCAGCTTAGGAGGAGTGGGTAGGAATGGTGGTTATTTGTAGAGGAGGAATGGAAGTGCACAGATGGTTCACATTTCCTTCCCAGCAAGATAGATGAAGAAATTCAACTTTCTCCCATTATGATCTGGCAGCACTTTTGGAGCTGTCAAAGAGCAAATGAGGCCTTATATGCTGAGGGATTGTAGGAAAGCTATCCTTTTGGAAACTGTTCTTCATCAAAGCTGTAGTCATGGTCATGAATCTGAGTTTTCAATAACATCTTTCTCCCTTGGAATGGGCAAAAGATGGAAATTAGCAGAGCTTCCACCCTGCACTTTCCCAATGCCTAGATGTTTTGCACTGTTCCACATCCTTTTCCTTCTCACTGCTCTGACTTCCATTATTTTTTTCCTCTGTTACAGAAAAATCATAAGAATCAGAAAATATTCTGAGTGAACATGAACATAACTTGCTTTTCTTTGATCAGACTCAGTTCCATGGTTCAAGAGGCAGGTGAAATCTAAGAATCATATTACATATTTAGATCACTAGAGTCTTTCACATCCCCCCTAATTAATGGTAAAATCATTGACAATATACTTACAGTAAAATTGGTATCTGAATTTGGAATTCAGAGAATTTTAAATAATCAACCCAAAGCCTGAAATTATAGTCTCAGAGAAAAAAGATCCAAAGGAAACCTCTGTAGAATCCAAATGTAGAGCTATTAATATGCAAAGCATGCATTTTTCTGAAAGCTTCCAAGAGTAAGGCTCAAACTTCTGATGCCTAGCTATAGTTCAGGTTCAATGATGATGATGCCTTTGTGAACCACAGCTTTACTATAATACTGGACTGCCCACAAATCTCTGGTTCAGGTTCAGCAGAGACCTAGTTTTGCTGAACATGCATATTTCTTACTTCCAGGCACATCAGTTTAGCTCGTGCTGTCCTGGAGTTACCAAGACTCCACTAATAACTTTTTCAATATTGTTTCTCCAAAGGGCAGTGAGGATCAAGCAGTAGCTAGGATAAATCTTGGGTATCAGGGTCAGTTTGGGGAGGATTACATTCTTAGTTTTCACCCCAGGTAGTCTTTCTCTCTCATGCATGCAGACACACATACACCTAGGAGCTGCCTGCTGAAAAGCAAACCCAATTATGGAGCACTAACTGTCCTGCATATCTATACAAGACAGAAGATTTTAGGATACTGTGGGTAAGCATATGGATTTCAGAGCAATTTGACTTGTTAAGCATTAAATAGAAGGTAATATTTAACGTTGGTATAGAAGAACTAGTGCTCTGCAGTAACACTAAGAGCCTAAAGCCATACTGGCTGAGATCAAAGGATGCTGAGACCCAAATACTGCTGACATCATAGTATCATCAGTGATACGGCTCAATCACTGGTGATAACACAC